GTCCGATTCATGATAATGTTGTTCAGTGTCTCCAATTGTGTTCAGTTCCAGATCCAATCCCTCAAAAACTATTAACCTCTGTAGCAAATCACTTGCCTCATTCCGTACGTGGGTCATACTTGTTGTTGGTTCCTGCTAATTGTTACCACGTTTATGGTAGAAGATATGAAAAATCGTAGAACAGACAAGAGGAGCAGTAAAGACGTCTGCTCTCGCTTGCAACCCGGAAATGTCTCCGCAGTTGGTCATAGTGTCAGTTTTACATTATAATAACAGCAACGCTTTCCTCCGCCTGTGGCATAAAGCAAGTTAGTTGGTCTCCCACATGAATTCCGGGAGAATCACTCCTCCTGCAATTGAATATATATATTATTAGACAAAGGAGATAGTCACAGTTTCAAGTCAGTCATTGTGGCTACCAGGTACAGTGAGTCAGTCAGAGTTTAGAGTCCAAAGTCGGGTTGGTCATTTCTCCTGTGCACGTTCACAACATCTTGCAATTTTCCTGCCATGTGCTCCTTTGTTTTTATCCTGCCTCAAAACCTACCGCAACTTGCTTTAAAACCACTTAAATCACTCATGTTAGATGGAGCGCATTCACAGCCTCCAAATGTCCCTCTATCTTGCATACCTTAAACCCAACAAGTAAATCTCTCTAATTCTTTCTTTTCATCTTCCTCAAGAACTTTCTTCTCTTGGTTGTAGTGTAGAGGTTTGGAGTTGTCTTAACTGGGTTTCTTTTTTTAGTAAAAATGGTAGTCACCCTCAATACGCAAAATGCCTCGCTCTCTGTAATGCCACGCTTTGTTATATTACGTTTTTGTATAGTATTGATGGCTTATATAATTGCGACGTGATAGTGGTGAATTAAGTCGGGTAAGTCCCCACTGAAGGCCCAGGTACCAAGTGCACAGCCTGCCACTGGTTTAGTGGCATCATTCATTATGATGAATACTAGCAGCTGTTGTTGTTTGTCTTCAGGGATACAGATTGTCCCTGGCACAGTAAGAATTTGTTGTACCTTCCTTCTGTTTTTAACTCTCTTCCTCTGCTCCACCTGCAGTGCCCATTTATTGATGAGTACATATTGGCTTTGCACAACAAGATAAGGACCACGTCTGTGGAATTTCCCGAAGCGTAAGTGCATCGCCTGCATCCTTCATTCTCCTCCACTTTATTAGAATAAACATTAGTGATGTTTCTGCCACCTGTAGTCTACAACTCACCATTTTGCTTTCTTTTGACCTCCACTCATACTAGGCTTTTCATCTAGGTTAGAATTTTGGCCAGGGTCAGTTCACATTTTTCCATTTCAAATATTTATCCATCGCTGTTGTACATCTTGTCACCGCCACCTCTCACACACATTACTAATTCTATTGTCTTAAATTAACAACATTATTATTGCTCTACCTACTGCCACCCACTGACATGGAATACTACTAAATTACTCTGCCAGTCACTACATTGTAGGCACAGATGCTCAACAATGGCATATTATTTGCAGTAATTACATAATAATTTCTTTGAACAAATTAAGTGAATTTCCCATGGCATACCACACGATCTAGTGTGGTCATCTAGTGTGTCATCTAGTGTGACACTAGCATGCCAAGGCACAGTGGTTGAAAATCATGGGGCTATGCATCAGTCTGCAGTGTCATGATGTTAAGGATATACAGTGTTTTCCCCCAGTCGGCCCGAGAGGCTCAAACAAGAAAACAAGACATTAGCAGTTCCCATTATCTCTCCCTCAGCCAGAGCATCATTCCCACCTGCTTTAAGACCACAACCATCGTCCCCCTTCCCAAGAAGAGCCCGGTCACCTGCCTGAACGACTACAGGCCAGTGGCACTCACCCCAATTATTATGAACTGTTTTGAGAGAGTGGTGCTGGCCCGCATTCAGAGCACCTGGAAAATGAGACTGCTACATCAGGATACTCTTCATTGACTACAGCTCC